GTATGACCGCGTTTTTAGTTTTAGCCATAAACTTAACATAAATTTGAAAATCTGGTTTGGAAACAACATCATAAACGCGTTAGACGAAGACGTTATATGCATTATAGGTATATATGTGTGGTATTCTATTACCTTTGATTTTTCTTAGCACATCTCATTTTTACATCTTATTTGTTGTACTCACATTTTACGTTTTCTTTGTCTATATATTATGTAACTTTTTTTACTGTATCTTAGTTTTTTATTTTTTTATTCTTATGATATCTTGCTGTATATGAGAGTTCACATACCGTGTATTATTATTATTTATTACCGTGCTTAGGTTTAAAATATTGTAAAGGACAAACGTCAATTTATGTATAAAATAAATAAAGTACAATCTATATATATAGGTATATTAAACATGGTATGTTGATTATGGTTATTTACCGAATACTTCCGATTGATAATACTTAAATATAATTTAGATAGTAAGTACTGTACATCGCACTCTTATACTAAGGTGAGCGAAGCGAGACAAGTATCCAACACCTATTATTTAGCCATATACCAAGCCGTTGTATGCGTTATCCGCTTGTTTTACTCAGTATTAAATAGTTTATGGGTGTGTAAACCGTTATGGCAACTGTAATACGAATTATACTTAGTAAACCGTTTTGTCATAATACGAGTATATGCCTACCTGTAAGTGTTCGTTGTTTTTGTCGTAACTGTAAAAAAACCTTAAGTGTTTAATAATTTGTCTTATACGCTTGAAATGCATTATTATCTATTTAGATATAAGGACGGATCAGAGCATATTATTATTCATAAGAAAAACAAATCCAATTGGATTAGAACTATTTTAAATTAACAGTCGATTTATTGTTTAAAATTCAAAATCACCCGTACAGTGTGAAAAATACGATACCAGTTTTTGATACGAGTGAGAACACATTACTTTTATAACATGTTTTTTTTAACCATCATTATTATTTTTAGCGTGTTGTTAATTGACTATTAATCTATACTGTTACTTGTAATATTTTAGATTAGAGTAAAAACCAATACGATATAGCTTATAGGTAATACTTGTATTTATTGAATTTTTTTAATTTAATATACAATCTATTAGAAATGTTCCGGGTACCCGACAATTACTCGATGGCAGGGTACTCGGTATCACATTTAAGACTCAGCCCTTACTTGGTACCCGGGTATACTTAACCCCGGTATACCTAACCTACATTTTTACCCGGTCCTTACTCAGTACCTGGCGAAATACTACATTTTCAACTAATATCCGGTAACTGGCAAACGCTGATAATCTATACATAAATATAATATGCATAAGTACCTATAATTAATATAACTAGAAAACTCTAAAATTCTAGGTAAACAACTTATAATTTATTTTGGTACATATTGGAATAACTAAACCGATTTATAATAGCCAGTTTATTGTATTTTAATATTAGTGTTTGCTAAGTTTATGCTCAGAATCACATTTTATTACCTAGGTAGTTTTATTTTTGTTATTAATTTATTATAATTGCAGACCTGTCCAGTGCTGAGTGTTTTGAGACTTCATTAATATTATTGATAGTTTCTCAATCAGTAATTGGTAGTTGATTGTGCCTTGCTGTATATATAACCATTTTGTATTTACATTTCTACTCGACCAGCAATCGATACCAGATTTATAACAAATTTTCTTCCCGAAACAATCTACAATCTATGCTTTTTTTTTGTCTGTAGGTACAATAAGCAGAATTTTTAAATTATTATTGATTTCCATGTGTAGTTTTGAGAAACTTTACAAACACTATAGAGACACTTTTATCTGTAAAATTATACGAATAAGTGGGGGCAAAATTGTCTTTTGGGGCGATGGAGAAGAATTTCAAGCTAACATACATGCCGATTTTAGTGGTTTAGGGGTGAGGTGTTAGCAAATACGGGTTTCAATCGTTTATTAAGGAAATCAAAATGGATTAGTTTGTGACATAATAATAAAGGCGAACAGGCTAAAGTGATAAAATGAACAGTTTTTGACGGGAATGTTTGGTTTTTTGGTAGAACCCCATATTTGGAGCCCGAGCTTTAGGTGAATCCATATTAGCTTGAGAAGGGATTGAACACATTTATTTTTCTATTCTAGTGACTTTTATAGTTTGAAAAAATATATTTGTTTTGGTGCGCATGGTAAGACGATTAAGACAATACTTAAATTATGAAGCAAGTATTATTTATTGTTTGGTGCAATTATTTTTCTCTGATTATGTGGGAGACAAATAAGAACTAAATATTTAGTGTTTTGTGGATTCGGCATTTGTTTATTTTATTATTTCATTTTCATAGGTACTTTATGCACTATAATAGACCATAATAGGTAAATAGAAAACTATAAAAACGAATTTTATAAAAACCATTTAGGGGTATGATAGATTGATATAGCATAATATTTTAAACACTTCCGCCAAAATGGACACGGGGATCACGTATGCACAATAACACATCTGGAATTAATCGGACCGAATAAACATCGTTTCAACCGTAAACCACGGTTCACGGTTAAGCACTTTCGGGGAGCTAAAAAATACGAGCGCGAGTATCATAATAAGATGCTTGTGATATCGCGTTTATACGACTATATTTTAATATATAAATATGTATAGGTATATGCAGGTGTATAATATTTATAGTATATTTAGTTAAACTGCCCGAAGGGAAACGGCGACAATTGCAAATTAAAGGTGTTCGGTGGAATTATTCATTTGAACGCGGTAACCGCGACCAGTTGCGACTGAAACCGCGAGTGACCGCGGATATAATACAGACGCACTATATATTAACGATATAAATTGTATAGCTTATATTTAGGTATATTATAATGCAGGTAAAGTACTATACCTATAACATTATGATTATTTATATATATATATATTATATGCGTTAATCGGCAGTGGCGGTTCCCACGCTTCGATCACCGACGCGCGGACGATGGCACAGGACTCTAACGTCTGATTGTTGGTGCAAACTATAAAATTCTAGGGAAACCGAATTTTGACATACATATTTCACTGAACGAATGCGAAGAGGAAAGAGGTACGACCGCAATACCAAAAATAAAAGGAAGAGCATACTCCGCGCATGTGTACCTACATTATGAGTACCAAATCACATACCACGAAAAAGCTCATGAGCTATAATATGCATATTATACAGAATTTAACAGGAGGACCTGACAAATGAAATAACTTTAATATTCTATAACTATCGTCTATCAAAATTGTTTAATTGGTTTCTAAGTATAATTTATTAACTCTTGTGTTACAAGTATACTACAACACTTTTTATTTCTTTTCTATAGGTACCTACTAAAAATTTAAAAAATGTTGAATTTGATAATAATTTTTTTTTTTTAATTCAAAATATACAATTTGTAAACCTGGTTTATAGAAAATTTTAAGTGTAAAAACATTTATTTAAATCATGTAGTTTATCATTTATGATTTATAAAATGTCAACATTTAATACTCATTAATTTGAAAAGTAAAAACCTTTTTAAAAAAATATTTAGATTTACCTTTTTCAACAAGTGCCTTTTCAAAAGTGCTAGTACAATTTTAAAAATTTTACCTATGCTTCCTGAATTTAAAATACTTTTTTACAACTGGATTAATTTTACTTAACAAAAATTCTAAAAAATAAACTGCATGACTTAAATAAATGTATTTACAATCAATTATTTTCTAAAAACCGGATTAACAAATTACACTTATTTTGAATTTTTCAACAAAAAAAACTTAATTCACATTTAAAATATATTGTTTTCAGTATTAAAAAATAAAGATAAAATGTCATATTATACGTGTAGTGCAAGTGTCACTAAATTATGTACAAAATTGATTAGAACAAAAGTTATTTCATTTGTCAGGTTTTCGTGCAATAAGTTAGGCCCAGTACATAGGTACTTAGATATTAATATAATTATTCATTAGGTATGTGCTATATAAAGTTTTGTTAAATGATATATTATGAAAATGTACCCATTGGTATGTATTACATATATTATAATGTACAAGAGGTAGGTATTTAAATAATGCTTCATTAATTTTAATGTGTAGTTTTCCCAGAATGTTTATAGTTAATTTTTTTTTTATTAAATTTATATCCGTATTTTATTTGTGTCCCAATAATATGATTTCCAAATTATTTTATGATATAAGCACCTCTCAATCAATGAACGTCATAAACAAACAATTTTATTAATAATAAACACGATGACATTGAAATATCTAAACCCTATTATACAGATTTTTAGATGCCCATTTTTTTTTTAATTACTTTAACAGTAATTATATAATTTTGCCTACGACAAATTGTTGTCGTTAACGAGTGTTAAAGCTCAGCTACCCAATAAAAAAGTCAATGATTTTTTTTTAAACCAAGGGAAATTCTTGATATATTTTTTTTTTTATGTTTATTTTGTGAATTTTAGTACAAATCAAGTTTGTTTTTAAACTGTTTAGTTATATCCATACCTGCATCAAACTTTTTAATCTTTTCTACTGCTGCAACCAAGATCAACCGAAAAATACAGTATTTTAGGGTGACCACACACTGGTAAAGCAAAACTGCTTTAAAGCGACTAATATTGTTTTATAGAAATAGAACGTGCGCTATTTTCATTAGTCATTGCCAAGCAGTCACTAGATAATTATATCAAAATTATGCCAAATATTATTTCTTTATGCTAAATTGTCTACAATATAAAGGTAATACATTAGACATTTTATACTATACATTATACACTATATCTACAAGTATACTGAAATACGTAATTTTGCATTGCAAACCTTTATTTTATTCTTTGTTTTTATTTTTAAGTAATAATTTGTGAAAAAAATATAAATATCTATAACATCTGTACAAACTAAATATTTTAACTATAATATATTAGTTCAAAATATGTTTAAGCAATGTAAAACACATATTTGAAGCATTATTTTACTTACTTTCATCTTGGTTTTCCACATAAAGTTTTTCGAGCAGTGGAAATTCAAAAGATGATAAATGTCACATAAAACTGCAGAATTCTAAAAAAAATTTAAAAAAATTACAAAATATAGATAGAATTTAAATTTAAAAATAAAAATGAAAGGGGGCAAAGGCGCCCGCGGG